CGGGGATGGTCGGCACGGAGCTGAGGGGAAAGGACAATTCTTGGTGGGGGTCAGGACCCCCTTGGGCTCCATGTGCAAAGTGGGGGGTCCCTGCTGTAGTGCTCCAGCAAACAGGGTGCTGGTGAGGAGTCATGGAGACTGTTGATCTAGTGCGTGGTGGGTTGGTGGGGGGGAGCACATTCTTCTGGGAGCCCGGGTCATCCTGGGAGCCCAGAGACTGAAATCTCTGCCCCGCAGAGGCCCAGGGAAGCTGAGCGCACAGCAGTGGGTCCAAGAACCAGGACTCTCAGCTTATACAGCCACCAGGAGGGTCAGCGACTGAGCACTGCCGGGCTGGACCAACTCCCTCCAGATATGGAGGCTGCAGTGGACTTCCTCCCCACCCCCAGAACCCAACGAGCCTCTTCAGAATGGATCTGCATCCAAATAGGAGAGAGGGGAGGGAGTGGGTCCCCATCCTCTAAGGTGATTGGCTCTGGGAGTGCGGAAAGGCTCATAGACCAAATCTGTCTGGTGTCCCCGGGGTTGGAGAGCTAGCTGGAACCAAGGACTACTTAGGAAGCACATGCTCCTCCTTCAGATAGGAGCCTGAGGCGGGAGGGAAACTCTGGCCCTTCCCACTTTTCCCTGGGTGCTGGGGTCGCATCCTCCGTCCCTCCCTCCGGCTGCAAGGCAGCTGAAGGCAGCCTGGCCCCTGCTTTGGACACTGAAGCACAGCTCTCACCAGGGGTCTGCGCTCAGCCCTGGCTGCACCTCCCCGCTTCCTCAGCCTTTCTGAGGTATTTTCTCTGTCCTCTGGGTTTGAAGGGTCTGCTGAAGCCACATTCCTGTTACAACGAAGGGGCTGAGTGCTGCTCTAGGGGACTGCAGTCGTAGCGGTACCTCAAGGCCCGCACCCGGTCTGATCCTCGGTCTGGCCTCAGCCACTCCCATTTGAGGACCAGACTCCCACAGAGCCAGGAACGGTATCTCAGCGCCCAGCTCTCCCTGGCTCCCCTGACCCTCTGTCTGGCTATCCCTTCTGCAATTGGAAAACACACCCATCCTCCCACCCATTCTGGATCCTTCCCTTGAGTCACCCAGGAGAGGTGACCCCAGAGTTGGAACCTCTGAAGTAGGGGTTCCCACCTTTCAGGACTTTAGGTATATTACCTGTTCCGTCACTGGTTCTGATTGGTTCAGTATGTGCGCACAGCCTGGTTATAGGTCATCTTTTGTATTTTGATATTTTATATCGTGTATCTGAAAAATGGGATGCAGAGTTCCGTTCACTAACCAGCTCTTTCTTTCGGGCTTTCTCTTTCTCGGCCTTCCAAGGCCCACGACTTCTCCCCTCCCAGCCGGAACTGCTTATCTTCCTTCCAATGAAAGGGCATTAGATCGAAGTCTACTGAGAGTTCCAGGGACTAGGCTGGAGGCAGGCTCCACACTGGGTCCCTCGCACGTGGGTGTCAGGACCAGAATGGAGAAATTCAGTTTCTAAAAGGAACAGACACCTGGGGGGTGGGGTGGGGGTGGGGGAAACTATGGTGTTGATGATGCTTAGGTCACGGCTGCTTAGGTCACGGCTGCTTGTGGGAGGGTATTGGTGAGAATCCCGGAGCCTGGAAGGCAAGAGAGCCCTCGAAGGTTGCCTTCATTGCTGGCTCTGTCTAAAGGCAGGCACCAGACAGTCTTTAGGCCCCAGGTAGCCCTCAGTCCAGCCTCGGAGGAAGGAGGGGCAAGATGACCATGGCCACAGCCTGGTCTCTGAGTCCTAGCAAGCTGTGTGGAAGCTAAAACCTGATGGATGTTTCACAGTTGAGGGTGTGGCACTTGCCAAAGACGGTTGGAATGATAGAGCATCCCTCTGTGCTAGGCTTGTGCCAAGCACTTCACACATTATCCCAGATGCAGCTGTTATCCCCTCTACAGGAATATTTGATGCAGGGTCCCTGGACCAGAGTGATGAAGAAAGACAGACTTAGTGATAAACCTAAATAAATACGCATAGCCCAGAAACAGGTACTCCAAAGCCCACCTTCCCCAGGCTCCAGACTCCCAAGGAATCAGTCCCACTCAGTCCTTCCCGGAGACAGGGGCAGGGCTGCGCTGCCAAGAAGCCATTAGAACCCTCTCTAGGTGGGGGTCCCTCTCAGGAGAGGAGCCTGCTGTAGATGAGCCAGGCTGGGTCCAGTTTACCCAGCAATGCACAGACACGCGAGAGGGGAGCTCCGATCTCTGCTTCCTGACATGAGGTGCTCTTAGATGGGGACATTTGAGAGAAAGCACACTATTGTCCATCAGTAGGACAGAAAGGCAGAGATCACATGCGTGCAGGGTGGGGAAAGGAGAGGGTGTGATGAGTCCCGGTTGGTGGCAGGAGCTCTCTCGGTCTGAAAACTGACAGTGCGGAGATAGGTCTAGATTTGTCAGTCTAGAGCAGCAGAAGGAAGCTGGGTGGGTACCAGGAGGATCTAAGAATGAAAGTCTGTTTCTTCTGTCCTATCCTCAGAATGGGTCTCGGAGCAGAAATAGGAAAACGGTGTTTTCTCTCTGTTGAGAGAGTTCTGCTGGTCGCAGGCCCTTTGGTGTCTGAGACTCTAGAGGAGGGCACCCTACACTGAGAGCCAGGGCAGGCAGCCCTCGGACTAACACCACGCCATCCGTTTGTCCGATACGTGGCCGCAGATACTGTGAGGAGTCGGGCAAACGAACACTATCCTGGAAGCAGCTCTTTCCCGGCACCCCGGCCGCTTGGAAAACCGAGGCGCTGCAGCTGGCGCACATCTGTGCCCTGATCCTGGCAGGGCAACTGAGCAGCCAGCAAGGCGCCAGCGCCAACTAGTGGGAGGTTCCCGTCACTGCTTCAGCCCCGGAGACCCTGCACCCGCGACCTCGGGCTGCATATTCGGAGCCAACACTTCCCCAACCCTTGATTCTGGTGCCCACAGTGGGCCGGCGCCTTCCAAGGGCTGTAGCTGAGTCCAGATCCGGGGTCAGACGCCGGGTCCCCCCAGAGCCTCATTCTCTGGAATCTCGTTTGTTAACTTGCTGGAAGGACAGAAAGAGAAATTAGGCGGAGAGGCTAGTAAATGGGGCAGATGCAAACTGGAACCTCTCGATAAATCGAATTTACACACCATTGAGGCAGCAGGTCACGGCCCACAGTTGTTCGAGAGCAGAGTAGGTGGCTCATCGCGGGTCTGGACCCTATCCGGTGGCAAGCAGTGGTCCCTTTCTAGGGGAGCCCCCTGAGGGCACACGTACCATAGCCAGACTCCCAGGATTTCCTCTAGTCCTGAGGAGCTTCTCACGCAAGGACCTCGGCCCAATGATGGGCAACCCCAAGTCATTGGTTCTCTAAAATGTCCAGTAAGCGACCCTCACGGTCCCTTGCTTCCTTGATAGCCTGAGGCGCTGACTTGAGGCCCAGAGAGGAGTGTAGGACAATTCTCCTGGCGCTCCTCAGATCCGGGGCCAGAGCCTGTCCCCACTGCCGTGCGCCTACGGCCCGATTTCGTTTTTGACAAAATGGAGTGTGCTAGGCTGAGATCCAGGATGAAGTCTTGATGCCGTCGTCGGATCCTAGGTAGTGTCGCTCTTGGGGCTTGGAATTGGTCGTTATATTCGCGTCCACTGCCGCTGGCAACGAAAACGCAGTCGAATTTCCAAAGCACCGAGAGAAACCCGGGCGTTCGTTCGTTCCCGCAGTCCAGGGAGTGCACCTGGGGGATGGCCCCCAGTGACTGTGGGCTTCGTCGCTCCGGCTTTCCTCCCCTCTGTAGACCTGTGGTTGTCTGTCTGTGCACCCAAGCTAGGCCTGGAGACCGGAAAGGGGAGAGTTGCTGGCATTGAAGTCCAGGAGCGGCTGGGCCACCCCGCATGAATAACAATGGAGACCCGGGGACCGATTTTCCACAGGGTCCCTGACAGCGCTGTACATCACAAAAACCAGGGCCAAGAAGACGTGGCTCTTGCCCTAGGAGGGCCCCCCTTACCACCCACAGGGAGAAAGCAGTCCGGCTCCTCTCCAAGCCACTGACAGTTTTCTTCCTGCCACAGACCCTTGTCTCCTTCCACGACACGGGAAGGTGGCTGCACGCATTGGGGGTGACACCAGAAAACACACGTGTTGCAGGCCTTATTGTAATTTTCGAAGAGCCACCGGCCGCCACGACAATGACTCCACGAGGCCTATGCGATCCTGAAACTAGTTTTGATTGGACAGGAGCAGGGTGGTTGACCCCCAACTCACTGCTGATTCGTGTGGGAACCCCCATTCTGTCCGCCTCGAAGGTTGACACAGAGGCCACAGAGGGCCAAGACCGCGCGGAGCTGGGGACCGTGGAATCCCGCGTGGGGTGGAAGCTCTAGGGTCAAAATTATTTGTGGGGTGGAGGGAGTGAGGAACCAGCCTTGGGTGTCACCGCAGCGACCAGCTGAGGGTGCAGGTTCCGGGCTGCGGTGGCCAGAGCTGGAGCAGCCAGGCTGCGACCCGAGGGAGGGGCACGGAGGCGCAGTCAGGACGCTGGAAACCGATTTCTGCCTCGGTTGCCGCGGTTGCTCTCGACTCCCAGGGATCGCAGCTCCCGCGCGGCTTGCTAGGACGCGGGTGTCTAGACCCTTCGGGGAGGGGCCTGGTCCCTGCTCGGCCCGCGCGGGCCCGAGACGCCCGGTCCTCCCCGGCGAACTCCGAGCCTGGGGGGCTGCGATTGGCTGCTCCCCGCGTCGCTCGCGCGGCCCCGCCCCGATGCCCCGGGTACTAACCCCGCGCGGGCGGCCGCGGCGCCGCCACTTGATTCTCTAGGATCCGGGCTGGGGCCGCGGCCGCCGAGTCCGTGGGGCGGCCGCGCGCGCGGGATGCGGGACTAGCGGGCGCGCGGCCGACCGTCGGGGCGTCCCCCCCCCGGCGCCGCCCCCCGCGCTGGCCGGGCCCCGCGCCGCCGCCTTCCCGCCTCCTGCTTCCCGCGGCTGCGGCCGCCCGCGCCCTGACGGCTGCGGTATGCGTATTCCCGTAGATCCCAGCACCAGCCGCCGCTTCACTCCCCCCTCCACGGCCTTCCCCTGCGGCGGCGGTAAGATGGGCGAGAACAGCGGCGCGCTGAGCGCGCAGGCTGCGGCGGGCCCCGGCGGCCGCACCCGGCCCGAGGTGCGCTCGATGGTGGACGTGCTAGCCGACCACGCGGGAGAGCTCGTGCGCACCGACAGCCCCAACTTCCTCTGCTCGGTGCTGCCCTCGCACTGGCGCTGCAACAAGACCCTGCCGGTCGCCTTCAAGGTGAGTGCGGGGGGCCGGGCGGGCCGGGAGGACATGGAGGAACTTGGGCTCCCCCATTGCAGGAGCCCAGGCCGGGGAGGACATGGGGAGCATCAGACTGGGAGGACATAGAGGGAGATGACACCCAGCTGGCAGGACATGGGGGTGCCCGGGCGCCCCTGCTGCAGGACCCCAGGCCCGGAAGGATCCCGGAATGGACCCCGCTGGACCCCAGACGACTCCAGTATAAGAGCCCAGACCCCAGAGGACATGCGGGACACCGGGTTGGGAGGAAGGGGGTCACCCAGCCAGTAGGTCGCAAGGGTGGATGGTCACCCACGCTGCAGGAGCCCAGGCCAGGAAGGACATGGAGGGAACCTGGGTGTCCCCTCTGCAAGAGCCCAGGTTCAGAAAAATATGGTGTGCCTCAGTCAGGGAAGATATGGGAGGGCGGCCAGGAGAACTGGGCGGGGGAATCCTCCAGCCGCTCCCACTGCAGGAGCCAGTACCGGGGACCCCGCGTTGAGATCGGTGCACCGGGGCCTCGCTGTCTACAGGACACGGGGACTTGGGGCGCTCCCTCTCGGATGCACCAACAGCTTGGAGGGGCCATACCTCTCCACCTGGCCTTGGCAGGGCCCTGCGTAGTATGGCGACGTGGAAACGGGATGATTGGGACTTCCAGATTCCTCTGGCACAGTCTAACCCGTAACCGGGAAGAGGATCGCCCGATCGCCCGAGCTGGGCAAGGACCCCGGAGGTGTAGGGTATAGAGGGCGAGGAGGGCCTGGCCTACCCCGCGGCGCCGCACCTCCTGCGCGGCTGCAGAAACACTTCCTTCCCACACTCTCCACCTCGGGCGGCTGATATTTCGCACTGGGCGACCATAGGCCGATCCTGGAGCGCGGTTCCCTAAAGAGGTGCCTCCCGCAGAAGTCTGCGTCCTGAATGACAGGCTGGGACGCCATCCTGGTAGCCCCGACTCGTTCAGAGAGTTGTTTTTTTTTCTTCAAATATGCCAGGGATAGGCAAGTGTTTCATTTTCTTCTTTCTTTTTCTTTCTTTCTTTTTTTAAAGGGGGGCAGCCAGATGAAACGAAAACGCCTTGGTTTTCCCCTAAACCTCTCGCAGCTGCCGCGAGAAAGGGCAAGGCAGGAAGGGCCGGCGGCTGGGGAGGTGGCGGTGCCCGAGGTGGCTGGAACGCCGGCTGCTGGCAGCTGAGGCCCTCCTTGCTCCCATTAAGACTTCAAATTGAAAGGGGGGGGGGGCGAGACTACTGACTCTTTGAGGTCTCCCGGGTGACATCTTAAAATACCAGCGGGGGGAAATCTCCCGGGGAGGAGGGGGAGGAGGCCCGTGTGACTGTAATCGTCAGATCGGAGGTTTTACTGTCACTTGGAGCTTAAAAGGAATCTTTGAAATTAAAAGAAGACAGGATGTTGACAGGAAATCTGGCCTTTTTAATCAGACCCCAAACATTTTCTCCTTGAAATCTTTACCATCTGGATCCCCAGTCCCTGCACACGGCAGCCACGTTTAAATGGCTGTGACTCTGTTTAAAGTCTGGTTCAAAAGGCATCTGCCTCTTGGTGTGCCTTGGGTGGGGTGGGGTGGGGTGGGGGGAAGAGATGACATTTGAGGGGACAACTCCACCCACCCATCCAGCAGTTCCCAGCAGGTACATGCTTAGTTATCAAAACGGGGGTTTTCTGGATCAGCTTGCAAAACAGCAGTTTTGTTTTGCATTTTGCATTTTTTCTGCATAACGAATCCAGACTCTGCTGAGGCTATTTAACTGGGCCTTGGCCACATGGCCGGGCCAAATTTCATACCCTAAAGGGCGATGCATTAACTGAGACCGAGGAATACCCCCGCTATTATCATTTGCTGATGCTTTTGCAAGGATTGTGTAGTCTTCTTTAGCGCCCCACCCTTACCACTGGCCTTGCTGATTGGCGGCTTTAGCTTAGATTCAATTTAATAAAAAAGAATGGTTTCTCAGAGTTCACGTTAACCACTGGACCCAGGATTTGGGTATGGAGGGTAGAGAGTTCATCATTTAGGTCTTGTCTATGGAGAAGGATCTACACCATTAAGCCTCTTCTACCCCAGCCTCCGAGAAAGCTTCAGTGAGCCTGGGGTCTAGGGGAGCAGCTGGGTGCACCCCTCCTTGTGGCCTTTCTAAGCGGTCCTCTTTGCTGCCCGTTTCCCCAGGTGGTGGCCCTGGGGGATGTACCTGATGGAACGGTGGTGACAGTGATGGCAGGCAATGATGAGAATTACTCCGCTGAGCTGCGGAATGCTTCCGCGGTCATGAAGAACCAAGTGGCCAGATTCAACGACCTTCGCTTCGTGGGTCGGAGCGGACGAGGTGAGCAGGAGGGACCCTGGGATGGTAAAGGTGAGGATAGGAATTGAAGGAGACCTCTGGGTCTCAGCAAGAGCCCCAGAAACAGGTCTGAGAGCCCAGCACTTCTGAACAGCAGCTCTCCCGTCCCGTAGGCAGGCATTACACCACCCTTTTATGAGGATATGTTTATGGTCTCTTACTAGTAGAGTTTTCTCCCAGGTTCCAGGGTTTAGTAACTCTTAAAAGCTTCTAGCTCCCGCCGCCGCCTTTTCCCATTCGCATCCCTGATCTCATAGAAGATGTTGGGAGAAGGTCCTGTGGGCACAAGCTCCAGCAGGGTGTGGATGTCTTTTGGTTGGGGCCCGAGGCACCCCAGCAAATTGACCCAGGGTCAGGAGGCCCCCTGTGGTCTCCCGAGAGCTCTAGGCTTCTTCAGGTACCTTCAAAAAGAGGAGAATTCAGGGTGGGATGATGAATGTTGGAAAGAGAAGTTTGAAGGCTACCATCTCAGCCCCAGGCTCACACTGGTGGCTGCCGTCAGTCTGACCCACCCCGGGAGTGGCAAGAAGGCAGGACCAGACGCCACAGTGGCTGCCGCCAGGGGCTGTTGAGTGGGAGGTTGCTGGGACCCGAAACCAGTCATCATGTAACTTTGGGGTGGAGGAGCCCTCCTTGTTCCCATGCCCTGAGGATAGGAGGATCTGCGGCTTTAAGACTAGCCTGCTGAGAAGTAGCTGCGCCTTGAAGGGGCTGTGCAGTCACCTTCCGAAGCTCGGGGAGCCCTCCAGGGCTAGGAAGTGAGCTGGCTCCCGGCTGCCACGGCTCGGCTCGGGCAAAATGGTACTTTTCAACACCAATAAACAAGACCTTCTCAAGGCTGGAGTTCCCTGGGAGCCGCCAGCCTGCTCCCACTGGGCATCTGGGCACCATTTTGCTCTCCGCAGCCGTGCAGTATATACATACAAATGTCAAACATATTTTTTGACTTTTCAGCATTAATTAAAACCAGAGCGTTATTTGCATGTAATAACTGTTTACTTGTTACTTTTTATGAAACTGAAATAGTTTACATTCTTTCGAACATTTCCTGTTCCTGCTGGCTCCCTTCCCCATGCACAGATTTCTTTCAAACGTAGCCCTTAACTGGCTGCAGGTTGATGGATGGAAAATGTTTGCTTTTATGAATTAAGCTTTCATTGCTGCTCCTAATTAGTCTCCAAGCCCCTTTTGTCATCCCCGGTCCCTGAACCCTTTGCAATTTAATCGAAGCCCTGTCCCAGAGTGGAAGTCACTGGGACAGGGCCCAGGTGAGGGGGCACATTGTAGCATTTGTCCCTAGGGAACTTGGTAGAAAGTGAAGTGGTGTCATGGAGCCCCACAAGGCGCTAAGCACTCTGGGCTCCCTTTTCCCTCCACACTCTCCCTCTCCCGGGAGGTAACAGGAAAATAAAAAGGTGATGATTCTCTGATGTACTGTGGCCTCTCTACCTACTGAGAAGTATTTTCGCTTTATTTTGAGACAGTCTCCCGGTGTAGTATAGGCTGGCCAGGGACTTGCTACATAGTCCACATTAACCCCAGGTTTTCTTCACTGCCTCAGCCTCCCGAGTGCTAGGATTGCAGGTGTGTCCTGCCACACCTAGCCCACAGAGGATTTCTTAGCAAATTGTACCACCCACAGACAAGGGCCCAGGCTCTGAAGGCCCCTTGGGGCGAGACATGTTTCTAGGGTGTCATTGAACTGCAGCTCGTGGATCTTTTGAGGCTGGGTCTGGGGTAGTGGCTTCAGTTCAAATGTTCTCGTGTCCAACCTCTCGCCACCCTCAGTGGTCCCAGAAGGGAGGAGGAAGCCTCATAGACATCCCCATGCCCGTGGAACTCTGTACCGAGTGCTCTTGGCTCCTGCTCTTCCAGTCTGAGCTCTAGGGTAGCTGACCTGGGCCTGAGTTCCAAACCAGCTAAGGACTTGCTAGATAGCTTTAGGGAATCGACTTAACCTCTCTCCGCACCTCTGTTTCCTTATCTGTGAAATGGGGAGAGGGTGATAATGGCACATTTTAATGAGATATGGGGTGGCCTAAGGACACTGAGACAAGTGTACGAGTTCTCAGGTACCGAGAGTTGGGTACATGGTAGAGATTTTGTTCTTTAAATGGTTGGCACTGAGAGAGCCTTTGAGGTCCCTTTGAGGACTGCCACTCACTGATTCTCTGATTGCTGTGTGGTTTGGCTGGCTGGGGGTGGGGGAAACCCAGAAGGTGTGCACTGTTGAGTGGGAGAGGTGGAGGTGCTGATGTGGGGAAGGTGGTGTGGAGGTCCAGGGTGCAGGGTAGCCACACCTCTGCCATACCTGTCCCAACAATTGGGAAATTCCCTCTTGAGGACATTCCTCTGATTAACACGGAGAATCTGGGCCACTTTAGGTCGGGATAGAGAACCCCAGAATCTTCCCTGGTTCTTTGATATCTGCCAGGACTAAGAATCCTAGATGAAAATTTCTATGTATCTTGTTTTTGTTTGTTTGTTTGTTTAAATTCCTGATTTCTGTCTGAATCCCAGAAAGATCACTTTTCCGCTTTCCATAAAAGACAGGCATGCACCAGCACCCTGGAACTCTCCTGCAGGTGTGAACCGAGAGAGAGAGAGAGAGAGAGAGAGAGAGAGAGAGAGAGAGAGAGAGAGAGAGAGAGAGAAAGAGAGAGAGAGAGAGAGAAGAGAGAGAGGAGAGCAGGCCAGATTCTGCCAGCTGCAGCCCCCCTCCCTGTCTTGAATGTCTGTAATCTGCACTTTAGCTTCTTCAGACGTCATCCAGTCCCTGAATCTCTGTCCCTCCATAGCTGTGAGGAAAAGAAAAGAAAAATCCTGCATGGCCCATACACATTTGAATATGTAAATGCCCTGTGAGACCACGCCTCTTCAACATGGGCAATGCACCCTTCACAGAAACCCCTTGACATTGGGCGACAGGATTCAGAGTGCGACCATGGCCTAGCTGTCATTCTGTGCCAGGACTTGCTGAAGATGAGAAAATTCTCTGCAGAGCTATGAACAGTGCTTTGTGGCGGGTTATTGTTTTGTTTTGTTTTTTACGGTGCTAGGTATCAAAGCCTGGCCCTGACTCATGCTAGCTAAAAGATATTACACTGAGCCATATCTACACACACACCCAGATAAAAACAAAACAAGACCCCATCTTCTGAAAAATTTAGTATTTATTAAAAGAACCCCAAAATTTGCTTTAGTGTAGGTAAAACTGAGTTAGGTTCATGGCTCAGGAAGATGTTTGTTTGGTTTTGGTTTTTTTTTTTTTTAGCACATTTTTTCCTTCCTGGGAAAAATTAATTCTTTGTGGCCCTAGGCAGTACTGGGTTTGTGTGTACTTACACACACACACACACACACACACTCACCTGTCCACATGTACATGAACTCTAGTGTGCACACATCTATCTCTAGGGTTGATGCTCTCTTGGCCCGTCACCATGGCCAATCCCCAGCTTGTTTTCTAGAAGGCAAAGTAACCGCAGGCCTAGGCACAGATAAGTCACTCAGCGCATGCCACTAACTGGCTAAGACGTAGCAGAGGTGTGTGGAGAAAGACTTAGGGTGAGAGCCGTAGGTGCAGGCTGATGGGACCACTAGACAAGGGATAGACGGTGTCTTGCTGAAGCTGAGAGGCTGCGGGGCTGAGGCGTGGCTCCCAGAGTCCAGGCAGCTCCTGCAGGCTGAGCTTGTCCCAGGCATGCTTCCTAACCCACTTGAGGTTGCTGAGGGGTGAGGCTGCAGAATGTACTTGTTTCATACACCCGAACAGGACCGCCTTCTCCACTCCAGCCAGAGCCAGCCCTTAAAGTTCCTTGATTGCAACTCCTGGCCCTGTGGCCTGGCCCCACTGCATGGTTGCTGGGCTCCTGCACAGCCACCCACCTCCTCCATCTTCCTCTCAACTTTCTGCTCCAAAAGAGAGATGCTCACACTGCACACCACCAGAGGGGAGAATTGGGCGCTGGGGGCAGCTTGCCCCACCCAGGTTTCTCATGCTCCTAGGCCTCAACCCTGATGTCCTGATTCCTTTTCCTCTCTGTGGGTAGCTGAGAAGGCAAGGAACTGTTGAGGTCTGCTGGTGACCTCAGGGGTGGCAGGTGGTGTGTGGTTTGCTCCCTGGGGCAGGATGGGAGGGGAGTAACAGGTGTTTGGTTGGGAGGGGGCAGCTGCAGCAGATTCTGGATCTTGCCTGGATACTGTGTGAGCTGACCAAACACGGTCCCTCTGTGGGCCTCAGTCTTTGCATCTGAAAAACTGCTGCATTTAAAATAGTTAATTCAGTCTCTAGGACATACTGGGTGGCCTCCTGGGGCCTGGGGGCAATAGGGTGACGCTTCTGTGAGCTTAGCACCTAGGAGAGGGAGAGAAAGCCAGCTTGAAGATGGGTTCTGAAGGGAACTTTGCAAGGAAACTTCACGCGGGTTCCAGGGTAGGAGGTGCATGGGGCTACAGAGGGGAACAGCTACCGGGGAGGGGGTCATGGTGCTTGCCACTCTGTGGAACAGATTCCGTAGTAAGCACTAGCCTCGGGTCTGATGGTGACCATAATGTTGACTTTATGACGAACATTGAGGGTGTTTGGAAAAATCTGTAAGGACTATCGCGTGATCACTGAATGCCTGTGTAGCTGGTTGGTGACAAGGTCACAGGTACTGCTCATTAAACTTCTGTGGCTTGTGGCTTGCACTCTGGCTTGAGAGAGGCTCTTCCAGTTAGGGACTGGGAACAATACTATTGCAAATTTTCCTATCCCAGATCCCTGGCCTGCTCTGTGCTAAGAAGGGTCAACCACAGAGGCTAAATTGAAAATGTCCACTTTGTTTGTCTGGTGTTTTGTGCCCTGGGGATAGAACTCAGAGCCTGAAGCATTCTAGACAAACCTTCTACCATTGAGTCATCCCCCAAACCCCCCACCCCCGCCTCTGAAGTGTCACCTTTAAATAAAGTGGCCAGGGAAAGCCCTCATTGAGAAAGTGACTCTCCAGTACAGACTTAATCCTGGCAGCCAGGACTCCAGCCTACCCCCCCCCCCACCTTCATTGTGGCCCCAGAAGCAATGAGGTCAGAGAGCCAGCCCTGCTTCCCCCTAGCACCCCACTGGTTGGGAGGAGGAGTCTAGGAGAGAAATGCTGTCGCCATGAGAAGGCCCAGAGAGGAGTGCCCCTGAGGGGAGCAGAACGGAGTCTGAGGCCACCTGCCCTGTATTGCCCTAGACTGTCTGCAGCTCTCTTTCCAGAAATGAAGCAAATGGCCTCTGGCCTGAGGGTGAGGGCCAAGCTGGCTTTCCTAACTAAACCTCCAAGGATGGATGCCTTAGCATTTGCATCCTGACCTCTGCTGCCTGCCTCGGGGACCTTCTTCCACTGAGGGATCTATTCCCCAGGGTACTCCGACCGTACTCTCCGGAATCCCAGAAGCCCTTGGGTTTGGAGGCTCAGCTGGCTGGGCCTAGCTGCCTTAGCCACACTCAGGCCTCTCCTGTTTCCCAGGGCTAGAATTTTCCCTTGAGCAAAGAGAACATTAAGATGGCCTCGGCCCTCTTGTGCAGCAGGCCTGTGGAAGCTGGCCCTCCCCTTAGGGCACCATTAGTGAGACCTGTCTCCAGCAGGCTCCTGGGAGCCACTCCGAGGAGGCACAAATGCCTGGACTTGGGCTGCCCATGGGGAGTTCCCAAGCTTCTAACTCGGGCTGACAGATAGCTCCAGAGAAGCAAAGCAGATTGAGGGGAAGTCAGGCTTGGGTATCTGTGGAGTCCCCGCCTCACCCCTGTCTCATCTTCAACGGTCACGGTGCTAGGCTAGCCTAGACCCTGGAGAGACCCACAGAGACACAAAGCTCTGGACACAGCCCAGTGTACAAAGTGACAGAATGACCAACATGCTAAAAACAAACAAACAAACAAACAAACAAACAAACAAACAAACCAGACTTGTCCTCCGACATCCCCTCACCCCAGACCTTGCAGGCCAGACAGAGCCTTCATGGCAGAGTACCTTGCAAGTACACCTTCATCTTTTCCCTGCCTGGAGAGACCTGTCTAACGCTGAGGACAAAGTGTGAGGAAGGGTTGAAGTTAGAAATCGGAGTGTGGCGGAGGCCATCACCCAGCCAGCCCATGGCTGTGGACGAGCTTCAGATGGAGCAGATCTTCAAGCCCCAACGGGAAAGTCTGGAGAACAGGAGGCAGTGACGTCCGCCAGATTCTGGTGATGGATAGTGACCAGAGACAAAGTTTCAGTCTCAGTAATAAAAGAAAGGCAAACAAAATCAAGAGAAATTCGAGATCTTCCATGTGATAGGCACAAGCCAGTGGCACTTGGGTGACGTATGGCCTCACATCACTCATGATGAGATATGTGTCCCCCGAGAGCCAAGATCAGCCCCCACAAACTCATCCCGGGCCCCTGAGGTGACGCACTCCCTGAGAGGAAGTCAGAGATGTGAACAGAGATTTTGACACATGGAAGGTCACTTCCATTTTATTTTAAATGGTAAAGAGAAAAAAAAAAAAACAGGAAAGTATTATTTTAAAAGATTTTCCCCTCTCAGGAATTTTGAATGGAGACATTGGAGCCAAACGTCTACCTAAAAATAGAACCGGGTTCTAGAAATAACAGTTGTGTCTGCTGCTCTCCAGTCGGTCCTCCTGCAGCTCCGGCTGCCCACAGCAGCAAGAAATTAACAACGACATCAGGAGGTGGACCACTCAAAGTGTAGATGTCCCCTAGGGGAATATTTAGCAGCCATTAAAAATTGAAGTTTATGGAGAACTTGTAACGCTGTCACAGGGAAAGAAAACAAGACAGAGGGCTGGAGAGATGGCTCTGTGGTTAGCACACTGGCTGGTCTTGCAGAGGACCTGGGTCCAATTCCCAGCACCCTCATGATGGTTCACAACAGTCGGTAATCCCAGAGATCTGATGCCCTATTCTGGCCTCTGCGGGTGCCATGGTGCACATACATTCATATATGCAGGCAAAACACTCAGACAAATAAGGTAAATAAATTTTTTAATTAAAAAAAAAAAAGACAGGTCCCAGCACTTGGGAAGCAGAGACAGGAGGATTTCTGTGAGTTTGAGGCCAGCCTGATCTACACATCAAGTTCCAAGACAGCCAGAGTTACACAGAGAAACCATGTCTCAAAAACAGACAAAAATAAAAAGGGGGAAAAAAAGCTATAGATTGTAGTACCACAGCAAGTGTGTAAATGTGTATGCCCACACCCAGAGAGGAGGGAGGGGGTGGAGCTGGAGCTGGGAGGCTCTTCTTCTTCTCTTTAAATATGTTTACAAATTTACAAAAGTATAAATTTCTTTATAAATAAATAAATAACTTAGTGAAAGTAAATCACTAATTACTTTCAGGAAAAAACACACACTCATCTGTGATCTTCACCCCAAAAGCGTCTGGGTCCCTAAATAAAAAGAATATCATAAAAATAGAGTCACATAAGGGAGAGTGGCCAAGAGGGCGGTGAATTGGGGGACAGCTGGGGCCGCACCTCCTGAGGCCTTGAATGCCCAGTCCAGCAGCTTGAGCTATATTCTTCCTGCTTTCTGGTTGTGTTTGAAGGGGAGTAAGGCGGGCTCTGGCAGCACAGATGGGAAGCTGGGGGACTGTGAATGTGTCTGACATCAAACTCCTGCCTTGATTTCCCCAGGGAAGAGTTTCACGCTCACAATCACCGTGTTCACCAACCCTACCCAAGTGGCCACCTACCACCGAGCCATCAAGGTCACCGTGGATGGACCCCGGGAACCCCGACGTAAGTGCCACTGAGCCCTGGCCAGGGCAAAGGGTTCAGAGGAGAAGGGCGGCCCCCCTCGCTTTGTGTCCCCCTCCAAGCGCTCACAGGGTCCCCGTCTTAAACAGGCTCAGCCCCAGGCTCTGAAGGGTCAGCACGGAGGCCAAGGTGGCTGAGCTTCTCTAGGGACGGCCTGGAAGAAGGACGGAACCATGGGGGGTGGCATTTGGGATGGGCACTAGGCCAGTTTTCTCTGCACCCCAGTTGCCTCTAAGATAATGAGGGATGTAGGGGAACAGCCACCCAGATTGGAGCTGGTCCCCTGTGCCATGAAGCCACACCTCCTTCTGGAAACCCTGGCTCTTCAGAGCCCAGGCACGCCAGCTACAGGGTCCACACAGACAAAGGCAGTTTGCCGCCGCGTGCACTGAGCACCAACTGCGGTCAGGGAGTCTCAGTCCATCAGAGCCAGTGTCTGCAGCAAGGGGTGGAATTGGCACGCTTCCTGCAGGGGCTCCTCATGAGGGTTGAGCCAAAGGGTTCCCTGTTCCAGGGAGGTGATGGCCCGGGCCTGATGGCTGGGGGCTTGTGGGGACCTTGACCTATGTCAGTGGGGATATGCTCCTGCCTCAGGCTTCCACTCAGGCAGGAACCCTAGGCTTGTAACAGGACACCAGGTCCTGGGACCTCTGCTTCCTGCCCAGGAGACTCAAGAGTGTGGCTTGCACTCACATTGGTGAGTGCCATTCAGGCCTTGGAGTCAAGCTTGACTTCCCATCTAGTGCTCCAGCAGGTAGCTCTTGGGGAAGTCTCTTTGCCTCAGGGTCACCTCCTCCCATCCCCCTTAACTGTAGGTCTTGGGCAGGTCACTTACAGCCTCATTTTTCTTGACTCAAGAGTGGATTTGCACACGCAGGCGACTGTATGGCCAGGAGACAGGCACTCAATGGCAGTCTGTCCATAGCAAACGGTTTGAAGGATGGAAAGGGTTCATGAGACCCCGTGTCTGGTCCTTACCCCTGCACTCCCACCTCCACCATTAGAGGGTGTCCCATCCCCCTCAGGAGCAGCAGGGTAGCTGCCTGGAGCCTCATTAAAGGGGCCATGGCTCTGCACCCTGTCCCCAGAGCGGGCTCAGGGCTCAGCATGAAGATGCAGCGCCCCACAGTGGGGCTGGGAGTTAGGGGCAGGATGGAGAGGCCCGAGAGTCCGAAGAGCCCCCTCTGTTCATCTGCTAGCTCAGTGCTTCCTGAGGCCTGTGGATGAGGACGTGGCCCAACCTGCCCAGGGAGCCCTGTGAGTCCCCTGCCTATCTTCTCCTGGTTCCCCAATCCGCCACACCTTAGCTGGCCCTTTCTGGAACAAGGTGGCTGGGAGGAGAATAAAACAGAAAAAGGTAGCTACGGTCAGAGACTGAGATTGCTGTGTGGCCTCAGACACGTAATATCCCTCTCTGGGCCTTCTTTATAGCTCATTGTTGCAACAGAGCAGAGGGGAAGGGGCTATTCACCAAGTTACCCCATCCTTGGTGCCGTTCTCCAGGCTACCCCATCCTGGGGACATGCTTACTCCTGCCTGTGGCCTACCTGGCCCAGAAATCAGGTCTCCAATGCCTAGCCTCTAGTCTCAACATGTTTGTCCTTACTCTTTGCTGGACTCAGTTTCCCTGTGTAGAAGAGGGAAGAACCCCTTCCCTCCCACTCGCCCACCCACCCAGCTGCTGGTCACTGAGTGACCCTGAATGCACAGCCACATACAGTCTTTCCATGAGCCAACCCTCAGCGACATCCCCCACCCTGGGAAGGTAGCACCATCGCCTGAGGTGACCTTAGCACCTCCAGACTCCATGTAGGTCTCCCAGAGGCACAGGCTGAGTGTGGTGGTGGGATTTAGGAGGATTGTGCGGTTCCTGACTTTTCACTATTGACCCACAGGAAGTGTCACAACCCTCTGAGACCTGACTAGCCTCCTGGCTCTCAGCTTTCTGTACTTTCCCCCTATTCCACTCCCAGACCCCCATGAGGTCAGAGCTTCTGTGGGTGGGTGGGGCTGGCCCCGAGTCCAGGAGCGGGAGTCTGCATCCCTGAGGCCCAGCTGTGGTTTCTGTGGCCAGGTCGTTCCCCTCTGGTGCCTTGCAGAGCGTGCCCAGCCTGCAGCCGGGTGGCCAGCTGGGGCTGAGGCTGGCTCAGTGGCTTCCTGCCTGTGTGGCCTCGGTTTCTGATGCATCCCTCCCAGTCACTGGGGACTGGTTCAAATGCAGGTTGCTGAGCTGGATTCAGCATGGGTATGGGAGGTGGTGCAGGCCCTGACCACACTGGCAGTGACCACAGTTTGGGAACAACTAGCCCCATCCGCCAGGCTCAGCAGGTGGTGGGACCTACAATATGGGATCCGGCTTCCTCACCCTTCCAGAAGCTGAGGGCATGGTCTGGAAGCTTCTCTTCCCCTAAATGCACACAAAGCAATTCCCACAAATAGTTTCCCAGGCACCTGCCATAACTCCAGCACTGTTCCATGTGCAGAGGCCACCACCCTGAACCCCACCTGCTGGTTCCCACCCTCCTGGGCCTCACATTCCAGAGGAGAGAAGGGGAAACAGGTTTTACAGTGACCATGACCAGGCCAAATCTGGTGGGGACCCCTCCTTCCTCTCTTGCACCCTCTTTCCCAGTTCACCCCGCTCCAGCTGCTGGCCTCTGCCAGGTACGCTCCTGCCTCGGGGCCTTTGCACAGCTGCTCCCATGCCAGAGGTATGCCTCCACACTGGTCTGCATGCTCCGCCACGCCAGGGTTTCTGTTTTGTTTTGTTTTTTGTTTTTCGAGACAGGGTTTCTCTGTGTAGTTTTGGTGCCTGTCCTGGATCTCGCTCTGTAGCCCAGGCTGGCCTCGAACTCACAGAGATCCACCTGGCTCTGCTTCCTGAGTACTGGGATTAAAGACGCGTGCCACCGCTGCCCGGCTAATGCCAGGGTTCTTTTCTTTTGCTTGTCAACCTCTTGCTCCTGGCCCTGAGGATGCCCACACGACCATTTAGCTGGTTCTCCTTAAATAGGTCAGGAATGAGCTAAGTAAATAATGTGTTCATGTCAGCAAAGCTGGGAGGAAGCTGGAGTGGGCAGAGGGCGGGCAGTTGGCACGTGGTGGGGGCACTCGGTGTGAGGGAGGCTTCCTGGTGAAGTCCAATCCTGAAGGAAGTGGGACCAGTAGCAGTGTGGCTTCTTGGGACTTGGAATGGGCAGGAAAAAACGACCCAGTGCTACACACACGTGGGCCTTGGAGAAAACTGAAGTGTGGTGTCGTCCTGGACTCCAGATGTAGGGAAGCTGAGAGACGGTCTAGAGAGAAAGCCACACCTGGTCATTCAGTACCCCAGAGCCTGGGAGCACCCCCACTAAGGCCTGGCAGATCCAGGAGAACCGACCCAGCAGGAGAGAAAGGGTTAACCTCAGACCTCCCAGCTCCCCTAATCAGGCCCAGGCCTGGAAGCCCCAGTTGCAGCCCTGGGCGGGAGCTACCTCCCTGCCACTGGCCCTCCGCCAGCCGGCTTCCCTGCCCAGCACCACTGGTTTTCATCTGCTCACAGGGGGCCAATTCACAGCAGACCACCCCAGGCCCGGCACCCGCCTGCCATCCGAGCGGCTGATCCGAGTCCGGTGTAAATCTCCCCACAGGCCGCAGAGCAAGCTCGGCAGCAGGCGCACAGTGGCTGCTGTGTGTGGGTTGCCGAGTAGCAGGCTGCTGGGAAGCTCTGAACCAGCCCAGGGCCTGGTGGCTGGGGCTCACCTTGTTCCCAGGGTCCTGCCCGACTTTGCCTCTCTCTGCCTCCCACCTCCTGCCTCACTGAGGCCAGACATGGAGCTGGCCTCTTGCCAAGCAGAGCCCAGCTCTCCTCTGTCAGAGGGACTCTGTGGGCTAGGCAGCCCATTCCAGGTTTTAGTATCACCTTGTGACCTTGGCCTGGTGCCTTCTCCTTTCCATCTGTGGGGGTGGGGGCAGGGGTGCTTCACAGAGGGTTGTGGCCTTGAAGTTGTATGTGTGGTCCGCCAGGCATAGGAATCCCCGGCTCCTGCCCTGCCTGCTGGAGGCAGGGGTTAATGCTGGCAAATGCACCAGGAATCTGGCAGGTGAAGGGACCTGCCATGCTGTCCTGGTTGGGGACAGTAGGGGAATCCCAGTTGGACTACATAGTGTGTCCCTGGGGAGTCTCCGAGTTCGGGGGCTTTGACCTGTATCACCCGCCTGTGAGGTCGGCTAATGGCTTAGCTCTGCTGCATGGGAGCTGTTGACCCAGGAGTGCCAGGCAGGTCAAAGCGGAGCTGACACCTCCCCTGAAGGTCGGAGCCTGTGGGCTGTGTACTTCTCAAACCTGACTTCACCCTAAGGGTATAGGGGAGGCTCTAAGCTTTTGTCCCCATTTCACAGAAGAAACAATGGAGGCCCGGTGAGAGTCAGCCAGATCCACCACTGAATGATGGCTGCCTGCGATGGTCCTGGGACTGCTGGCCTGGGAGTGAGTTAACTGAGGTCTACCCTCCCACAGACAGGGTTCTGGGCACTCAATGTGATCAAGGACCCCCAGCAGGAGCTGGCAGGCAGAGCAAGCAAGACCCTACAGTCAGGGTCCCTTCCCCAGACACCCTTCTTCCCATGAGGACTCTACCTTTACCAAGCCCATCCACCTACCCCGGGGTAGGATGACAAGCACTTTACAGGTGTGGAAACTGAGGCCTGGGGGAAAGCAACCTGGGCTGCTGTAGTTGTGTGACTGGGACTCAAGCCCGAGTTTCAAAGCAAAGCAGAACCCTCCTGGGCTCCACTGAGCCCCCGAGTCCTAGTTAGGGTTTCTATTGCTGAGGTAAAATGTCACGACCACAAGCAACTTGAGAAGGAATGGGTCTATTTCATTCTACAGCCCTCGGGTCACACTCCGTCACTGAGGGAAGTCAGGGCGGGAATTCAGGGCAGGAACCTGGAGGCAGGAGCTGATGCAGAGGGTGTGGAGGGGTGCTGTTTCCTGGCTTGTTCCTCAGTGATGGAGCAGGGCTTGAGAGCCGTAAGATGACGTAAACCCTTTCCTTCCCAAGCTGCTTTTGGTCACAGTGTTTGAGCTCAGCAACAGAAAAGTAACTAAGATGCCCCGTCGTATCCCCTGCCCACGTTCCTCCCCACAGAGTGCACCCTGGGCTGGGCCCTAACACCATGTCACACCTTGAATTTCACAGCCAGGCCCCTTCCTGAGATGAGCTCTGTGGAGAGGAGGTGGCCATTTCCCTCCTATGAGCTGTCAGCCTGTCAGTGGTTCTGTCCAGCCTTGCCGTTTCCCACCTGTACAGTGGGGGCACGTCCGTTCTCCCTCATGAGGCCGCCAGGGCCAGCAGCTGGTGTGCCTTCTGAGCCTGCTGTGGAGAAAGCTGTACCCAACAGGCCCTGCTTTCTTCTGCTCTTGACTGCCTTCGGGGCCCGTTCACAGGGCTCTTAGGTTGGGCCCAAAGGACAGGGAGCCTTTCTGGCAGAGGCTGTCCTGCACTAAGAGGACAGAGGATGTGAGAGGGGCCAGGCCAGCAGCAGCAGGAGGCCAGAGCTGTCCAGGAACGGCCTGTTTTCTTTCCACTGGGGGCTGGAGGCCAGTATGACCAATGCTAACCCTCTTAGGATTTTTAAGTCAGTTATTCTCCAAGGGAGGGGTCCTAGGTGAGCAGGCTGTGTGGTGGGTGGGGGTGGAGGGAGACTGAGGCAGCCGGCACAGAAGGGCAAGACCCCAAGGGGCTGAGGCAACCAGACAGCTCCATGCTCTCATTGTGGGAAAAGGAATAAAAGGCTTTTTCTGTAGCCCTCCTCCCCGGGCACAGGCCAGGCACTTCCGTTCAGTGCTGCTCTCAGCATGAGGGCCTCAGCCTCGTGGCTCTGAGACTTTCTGGCGCCCTGGCCACGTGGGGTCAGCAGGCTCCCCTCTGCCTCTCCCTGGCAGGGGCTCCAGCATCGCACAGCCACGTGAAGCAGTCCTGTGCCATCCTCTCCTCCCGGGAGCCTGTCCTAGGCAAGGCACCGGGTCCCAGCTGGCTGGGACATCTCAGTGTCTCCACTGACCGGTGGGAGCTCCAAAGGGAAACCGTCCAGAAGGGGGCCCCGGAGTTAGGGATCTGGGCTGTCTTCCTGGTCCCCATCCTGGCCCCAGTGTCCTGCTCTGTCATCTACCTCCCCCGTGGTCATTGTGGTAGGGACCCTGTAGCTCAAGGTGGAGGGAAGTGTGAGCAGTGAGACCCAGGCCGCACCTGTTAGGGTCCATCCTTGAACCCAGACTGTCCCCAAGCCCCACTCTCCTTCCGCTGGCCACAGGAGCAGCTGTAAACACACAGCACACTGTGACTCAGAACCAGGGGACTTTGGTTGTCACTGACGACAGTAGCAGGCCTGAGGTTTCGCACCAGCCTTTGTGCGGCCCCACTAGCTGCCGGGGAGCTTGTGGCTGACTGAACCACCCACTTCCTTGCACCCCGGCTGTCATCTGGTCAACCCGTCACCTCCCATCTACCTATCCGGTGGGCTTCCTGCCTGTTGAAATGCCTGGGAATCCACTGTCCCCAGCTCATCCACACATCCCTGCCATCTCCAGGAGCCTTGGAACTGGCCTTTGGCACTTCTACTGAGCCAGAAACCACATCAGGGCACCATGATACCAGCCAGTCATCCTCAGTGAGGCACAAGCCTTCTATCCAGTCCCCAGCCACCTGTCTGTCTCATCGGGGACTTGCCCAGGCCTCAGGCCTTGGAGTCTGCAGCGCCAGTTCCAAGGCGCCCCAGGCTACACTTTCCCCTTCATTTCCCGGAACCTTGGGGTGGTGACATCTGCTGCTGTGCATACCACTGGTTGTGGTTGGGGCCTCATGGGAGAGAACAGCAGGGTTCCCTTTCTAGTGGCGACCTGGGACCCCCTACTCAGTTTCTGAGGCTCTCCTGAGTCCAGCTGGACCTGTGGCAGGCATGTGTGGGAGCTCTGAGATCCATGAGGACCGGCACCTTTATGAATCAGGTTCTGTCCACAGCTTCTTCAGGTCCCTCGTCCCAGCAGTGGTCAGTGGTCATGCTTTTCAAGCCTGGAGTCACTGTCCAGTCTCAGGCAGGACAGTGAAACACCTTAGTGTAGCACTCACCTTTCTGTCAATCCAGAAAAGTCCCTGTCACTCCAGACCCAAAGACTTGGGCAAACTTCTCATGCTAAACGCTCTTCTGACAGTTTTCTAGCATGCCCAGGTTTAGGAAACCCCGCCATCTTGACCTCAGACAAGCCTGCCCACTTCTCTGAGCCGTAGCCCCCATTTGGACAGAGAAAGCCTGAGAGGCAGAATGAACTAGTGGTTGGACAGTTGGCAGAGACGCTTGACAGGAGAGGTGAGCTTGTAGGGGGCCAGAAAGAGACACTCAGAATCGCTTCTGTCACGGAAAGGAGCAGGAGGCAACCGCACCTCCAGGGGATCTGACAGGCACGGTCAGGGGACGCCCGTGACGTGGCTGTTCTTGTCACTCGTGGGCTCTCCACGGCAGCAGGGAGGGCATTTCAGAGAGGCTGGCCACTGTCCCCACTTCACAGGTGAGGAAAGTGAGCTCCCAGGAGTGTCATGCCAAGAGAAAGTGATAGAATATACCCAGGCTGAGGCCATTCTAGAAAGTTCCATGAATGGACTCCTCCTCCTCCTCCTCCTCCTCCTCCTCCTCCTCCTCCTCCTCCTCCTCCTCCTCCTCCTCTGTTTTTCCATGCACATAAACCCCAAAAGAGGATGGAAAGAGAAACTTGAGAGTTGGTGAGGACAAGCCCATGGTGCAGGAGGCCTTGGTGGCCAGAGTTCACCTATTTTTATTTTAGGAACTCTGTGTGTTGTTTAAGAAATGAAGGATGGGTGATGAAAGAGTGTGTGTGGCACTTAGTGTCACCCCCAGGTGTCCCTCAGCCACCAGCAGATGCATAACCAGCCTGCAGCTCCTGTGTGGGCTGTGGCTGTTCAGAGGGTGGTAGAGAGGACTGGCAGTCTCCAAAATGTGACACTCCACCAGGCACATGGTCCCTTGGCCCTGTGTCTGGGCAGGGACCAGAAACCTGTATGTATACCCTCAATGACCGTGCCTCTGCCCTCCTTTCTGAGGCCCTGAGGGAAAATGGGTTTGAGGGTGGCTAGGTTGGCCAGGGCTAGGTGGCCAGCACTCCCTTCCATAACCTCATGCCCTCATGGGGGTACATGGAGTGTGGGGATCTGCATGCTGCAGGGGTGAAGGTAGTATCGCCCCTGGGGGCTCCTCCTGAGCCCCTCGGCAACTCCTCGGCAATCCGCCTGCCTAAGTCATTCTTTTAAGCCTATTGCCTTTGTATTCTTTTCTGTCAGACCATGTTGAGGAGGCTTAGGCAGTTCAGAGTTTAACATCACAGCATGCTGGCTCCGTCAGAGGTCCGGGTGTGATATAAGAATGACCATTCTGAGGAGAGATCAGGCAGCCTGAGGTGGCACATAGCCATGATCTCTGTTTTGCTCAGAAAATTAGAGAGTTCCACAGAGGCCCAAATTAGACTCCAGGAAGAACTTCCCAGCAGGGCAAGGCATTGCAGTGGCTGACGGGCTCCCTGTGCTCCACAGGGCACCGACAGAAGATAGAAGACCAGACCAAGGCCTTCCCCGACCGCTTCGGAGACCTGCGCATGCGTGTAACACCAAGCACCCCCAGCCCCCGTGGCTCGCTCAGCACCACAAGCCACTTCAGCAGCCAAGCCCAGACCCCAATCCAAGGTATGGAAGAGCAGAGACCTGTGGGGATCAGGCAGGGGTGCGGATAAGGAGCCAAGATATGGTCCACTTATCCCAGGCTAAGTCCTCCGGGAAGATGGCTCCCGGAGTCTGCAGTCTAGACTACCAGGTCCACTCATGCCTGACCCTGGATGAGCATGAGCAGATGTGACCATTCCTCCCTCCGAAGCTCACTATTCCCTAGGGACATGAAGGTAATCCAGTGGTATGCATAGAGCCATGGCCTCCATGCCCCCACTTGGCACACATTCCTACTGCCTCGGCCTTCTCCTGGTGAGGGGAAATACCATGGGGACATCTCTCTCTTTTTTTCTTCTGAGACAAGGTTTTTTTTTTTTGTTTGTGTGTGTGTGTGTGTGTGTGTGTGTGTGTGTGTGTGTGTGTGTGTAGTCCTGGCTATCCTAGAATTAGTTCTGTAGACCAGGCTGGCCTTGAACTCACAAATATCTGCCTGCCTCTGCCTCCCAAGTGCTGGGATTAAAGGCATGTGCCACCACAACCCAGTATGTTGGGGATATCTCTTTCTGGGGCGGGGTGCTGTTCACACCTGAAACTGTGACATGAGGTGCCAGCACCGCCTAGCCCAGTCCCTTCACCCTGTATCACACGAATAGAGAGCACTAGGGTCGGACTTTGTCCCCAGTGCCTGGACGAGGCAGCTAGGCCGCAAGCAGATCTCCCTGGGGTCTGTTATCCCGTGACAGGTGCTTGGCCGGCCTCACGGCAGGCATTGGACTTCTGCTAGCGGTCAGGGACAGGAGGCTAAATGCAGCTGTCTCAGGTCAGGCAGGAGCAGATGCCGAGCCACAGAGGCCAGAGGGCTAGCCGCTGCCCTGTGTGGTACCTGTCCCTTCAGCTCACCAGTGATGTCTCGGGGTCAATGTGGCAGATGAGCGAATTGAAGCTGAAGAGGGTTGGTGCCACCCTTAGGCCACATAGCCTTCTGGTGACTGAGTCCAATGTCTCCCTGGGCCTGTCCTTAGGTGAGGACTTCTGAGGGTCTGAGAAGGGACCAAACATTAGGGCCAGAGTGGGCTGCAAGCTGGCCTCTCTCTGCCCAACCTTCTGCCCTTCTCCACACTGGTCTTTCCATGAGGATGCATTGCCGGGGATATTAACCATGTGTTCTAGGCATGATACAGTGTCAGGGCATGGCATCAGCCCTCAGTGTGTCAGGAAGCTGGCCCAAGGTAAGGGAAGGTGTAGCTAGAGTTTTCCTGCCTGGCCCACAGTCAGGACAAATCTCTCTCACCTGCCAGTCCCACAGCCGCTCAGACCTGACCAAGTAAACACAGAGACTTATATTGCTTACAAACTGTATGGCCATGGCAGGCTTCTTGCTAACTGTTCTTACAGCTTAAATTAATCCATTTCCATTCATCTATACCTTGCCACGTGGCTCATGGCTTACCGGCATCTTCACATGCTGTTTGTCGTCATGGCAGCTGGCAGTGTCTCTCTGCCTCAGCCTTCCACTTCCCAGCTTTATTCTCCTCCTTGTCCCGCCTACACTTCCTGCCTAGCCAATGGCCAATCAGTGTTTTATTTATTGACTAATCAGCAACACATTTGCCATACAGAACATCCCACAGCAGGAAGGCCCTGCCCCCAGTTTGCCTGAGCCCATGGGTTTGTGGGGTTGAGATTCAGCTTTTGAGCCCTGGGCCCTTGAGATTCATTTCTGGCCTCATTAAATGCCCTGCATCTACCTCATGCCCAGCCCTGTCCAGGAGCTTGTCCTTGCCCCAACCCCACAGGCCGGTACCTACAGAACCTGATTGAAAAGGGATGGATGGAGTCTAGCCAGGGACACCCCAGAGTCCAACAGGGCTGGACAGTACTTCCTGTCCATCAGTTTCCATGAGAGAAGAGCACATGGTTGCCCTGCTCCAGTGAGAGGGTGTAGTCTTGGGACTAGATGCTCCCAGGAGCCAGACTCAGCCTCCCACATCCCTGGACCTCACCTGGCCAGTGTGGTATGGATGGCCAGTCCTTCTCTTAGTACATTCTGATATAGGACTCTTATGCCCCATGTTAACTCCAATGGGCCCTTTGGTGTTCAGGAGAGGGTTCCAGGTACTTTGTTATCAGGTCAACCTGACCAGTTCTAGCTCTGCCTCGCATTGGCTGTATGATCTTAGGCAAGTTGCCTAACTTCTCTGAGCCTCGGTTTTCTCAAGTGAAAAGAGGGTTAGACTGGCTTTGGCGGGCTCAGATACGAAGAACCACACTCTCTGGTCCTCCGTCCTGGTGGGACCAGGTCCCAAAGGTCCCCCAGGATGCCTCACCACGTTCCTTGGTGCCTGTTAATAGCTTTGACCCCTGGCTTTGGTCACTGCAGGCAATGCCAAGGCTGGGGGGGGGGGGGGCGCTTACTGCGGATGCCCACAATGGGGGCTTCTCACAGCTCAAAGGGCTCATTCAGCTGCACGCAGCAGCTGGGGCAATTTGGAGAAAATAAACATTTCCTCTCGCTGCTGGGTTGGCTGCTTGACAGTGGTCCCAGCAGCTCAGATTTCCTGGGGCTGTGAGGTGGAGGCGGAGGAAGCTGCTGAGGGTCTGAGGGGGTACTTAGGGCAGGTACTTCCCACCACTCCGGAGGAGAAGCTGGAGCAACGAGGAGAGAGGGGGAGGGGACAGTGGCCGCTCCAAGCACCCCAGTCCCTCCACTGCAGGGCCACAGTCCCACTGTCCCCCACAAGTCTTGTTCAGTCTGCTTTGAGAACAGGGTCCCCTGGTCACGGGCATCAGTGTTCAGTGTCCTCTCATCTCGCTGGTACTGAACATCCTCTCTGCAGGACTCCTGGGTGTAGATGGGCATCAGGCGCCTCGACCTCCCAGACCAGCCAGGGCGTCCCCACTTTTCATTTCGGAAAGCTCCAGCTGCCTGACTCCTGTCTGTTCCCTGCACCTGGGGCCAGAGGCAGCCCTCTGTGGTCATCCATAGCCAGGGCCAGAGATGCTGATGCACACACCCCAGAGACCCAATGAGTACCAGATACCTAAGGTCACCTGACACCTTGAGCAGACAGAGCCCAGGAAGCAGGAGGCCTGAACTCCCCATCCCCCGGCACAACTGGTCATGGCCAGAGGGCCCACCAACCCATAGGGCCTCCCCTGGTCTTTTATCCATGATAGAGCAGACAACAGGCTGAGGCTTGGCAGGCCAAGCCTCTGGGCCACCACTTGGGATTGTCCTGTGCCCACTGCTGCCAGGGTATGAGGAGGGCTCCAGGTGAGGGTTTCATCTTATCAGGGTCCCAAACTCATCTTATCTGGGTACCCAGAGTAAGAGGTGCAACGGTGGCCGTGACAAGACAGACCACCACAGGCTGCTGGACGTGGCTCAGTTCTCAGCGTTTTAAGTGTGTTAACAAATCTGATCCAGGTCCTCAGGAAATTGATGCACCGAGAGGTTAGGTGATTGACCAAGGGCACCCAGGGAGTGAGAGTCAAAGCCAGGAAGATTGACCGGCTCCAGAGGTCCCGTGGAAAGTCCCGCTGTCTCCACAAAGAGGCAGTGCCGACCAGGCCAGTGTTGGGACTCAGGACAGTGCGCTCTGTGACCCCCATGCCTCTCCCTGGCTGGGTCCCGTTTTCCCACCAACGGGGTTAGGTTTGTTCCCAAAGCCCATGTGAATGCTGGGATTGGGGGCCCGTGATTATAAAAGTAGGTATACAGGTTGCCACACCCCATCTTAGAGCTCACTGAGAAACCCAGACCCCTGGTGTTACTGTGTGGGGTCTGACTGCCAGGCCGGGGTCTGGACCCCCAAGTGCCTCCAGCAAGTGTTTCACTTTGCATCAGAGGCGGTGAGGGTTCCACACATGTAGTTGTATGACCGCCAGGTAGCTCCAGCCTGCAGGGCACCCTTAGAAGACATAGGCTCAGGAAGTGGGGGTGAGGACCAGCAGAGCCCCCTCCCCAGCCAGGACACCAGTCTACCTCCACGTGTGCCCATCCAGAGGGCATGGGGATGCCTGTGTGCTGCTGCCCAGCCTCTCTTAGCCCATGGCTGCCCCCAAGATCAGACGTGATGTGTCTGTGTCACTGTCCTGCTGAGAGCTGTCCTAACCTTCATCTGATGCCCTGACCCCCTCGACAGGGCAGTTTACAGACAGGAGCTGTTTATCACACACACACACACACACACACACACACACACACACACACATAGTGACCCCAATGGAGAATAGAGACCTTCTGGAGCATTCCAGCACTTTCTGTGCATGAGGGAGGGGATCAGCCTTTCTCTATCTTGGCCTCAGTTTCTTCCTCTTCAGAGGAAAGTCCAGCTCCCAGTCTCACTGGGCCCCTGAGGACCCTATTCATACCTTTGATCTTGCCTGCTCTTCAGAGTGAGCTTATTGGGAGCCCTGTCTAATGCCTGTCCTAGCAGGCCGGGAAGGACACACAGGGTGAAGGAGGGCTGTCCCCTCTGCTTTGGCCCAGAGCTCCACTCCCAACATAACCTGCAGCAAGAGTTCCCAGAGCACAGCCCTGCACAGCACAGCCCAGGCAGAGGAAGGGGTCCCCAGGAAGGTCACCCCACGGTGGCAGAGGTCCCCTGGTGGTCCTAGCCTGCGCACCTGACCCCCACCCTTCTTGCTGTCCCCAGGCTCCTCAGACCTGAACCCCTTCTCGGACCCCCGCCAGTTTGACCGCTCCTTCCCTACGCTGCAAAGCCTCACGGAGAGCCGCTTCCCGGACCCCAGGATGCACTACCCGGGAGCCATGCCTGCCGCCTTCCCCTACAGCGCCACGCCGTCGGGCACCAGCCTGGGCAGCCTGAGCGTGGCGGGCATGCCGGCCAGCAGCCGCTTCCACCACACCTACCTCCCGCCGCCCTACCCCGGGGCCCCGCAGAGCCAGAGCGGGCCCTTCCAGGCCAACCCCGCGCCCTACCACCTCTTCTACGGCGCCTCCTCCGGCTCCTACCAGTTCTCCATGGCGGCTGCGGGCGGTGGCGAGCGCTCGCCCACCCGCATGCTGACCTCCTGCCCCAGCGGCGCCTCGGTGTCCGCGGGCAACCTCATGAACCCCAGCCTGGGCCAGGCTGATGGCGTGGAGGCCGACGGCAGCCACAGCAACTCGCCCACAGCCCTGAGCACGCCGGGCCGTATGGACGAGGCCGTGTGGCGGCCCTACTGAGCACCCTGGGGACTCGCGGGCCACCCGGACCCGCCCTCCAGCTCCAGGCTGCAGCAAGAAACATACTTTGGCCTAGTCCCAGGGGCCAGAGCTGGCGACGGCTCCCAGAGCTCTGTCCAGCAACAAGTTTGAACAGAAGATGTGGGGACTTCCCCCAGGACACTGCCCCAGCCCACACCCACCTCTGTCGTCTCCAGCCATGCCTAGGATTATCTCCTGAGTCAGAGGCTACCCCTGCCCATGAGGAAGGAGGCCTTTGCTGGCCAGAGAAGCTCAGGCTCAGAGATGTCCAAACTTCCTCTCTCTCACCCTGCACCCTGGGGACCAGCCGTCCCTCTGCATCGGTACCCCCCTCAAGCCAACTGGAAACCCCAACCCCTGAGATGACTTCACTGTAGAGAGGGAGGACCCAGGACACACCCACACCAGTCCCAAACTTGACTTCCCCATTATTCCAGGCAAGCGGTCCTTGACCAGTTCTAGCTTACCTGAAGACACCAGGCCCCAGAGCAGACTTGTCCCTGGTGGCAGGTCCCTAAAGGGAGGAAGGCCTCAACACCTCCAAACACATTCCAGCCTGCAGGGTCAGCTCGGTTCTCAGGGGCAGAGAGGTCCCGGCAGAAAGTCTTACGGTGGGAAGCAATGGAATGGTCAGCGTCCTTGTTCACTAGGCTCACTAGTCCAGCCAAGCTGTGCCCCAGGCCTTGCCTCCCCAGGCCTTGCCTCCCCAGGCCTTGCCTCCCCAGGCCTTGCCTCCCAACCTGCAGCCCGACTCCTTAATGTTTGTACCTAGAAGCAAACAACCTTGAAGCAAAAGAAAAAAGCGACTTCATCAAGCATTTTAAAGCAAGGTCTGTGACAGGTGAAGTTCTGCGGAGGTGAAAGGCCCGCCTCTGCTAGTGAGATATCAACAGACTCCTGCCACCCTCAGACCTCACATTCTTCCCAGAAGGGGACCAGGGGCTCCAGAAGGCCTTGTGGAGGCTCTGGTGAGGTGTGCAATGACAGAGCAGTGTCCAAGCAGAGGTTAGACAAGGCCCCCCTTAGATCTGGCAGGTGGGAAGGGAGGCCTTGGCCTAGGACTTGGGTCATGGGGACTGTGGGAGATTGTCAGTGGGATAGGTTAAAAGGCTCTTACCAGCGCTGACCCACAGGTGGGTTTTCAAACTGAGTGAGCCACATCCTCTGTGGCCTTGGAACTCTCCTCTAGAAGGCTCCTTAGAGATGGTCTCTGTGGTAGTGCTTGGCCTTCCCCATTGCCCACACCTGTAACCACATACATATACACTCCGGCAGGTCAGGGGGGCCTGACAACCCTGTGCAGACACCTCCTGTTACAATTCCTTTTGTCCCACCCTTGTTGGGGGGATAAAAAACCCAAAACATTTTCTATCTCTTGGAAGTAGCTGAGTTAGCCTTCCAGCTCCTGCACCCAGAGGGGCCTCTTCACCTCTTCTCAGGAAGCAGCTATAGCCCATTGCCCTCCTCCCTGCCTCACTACTGGTCCGTGGTATAGACTGGCCCAGACTACCAAGGAAGACACCTTCAGGATCCTAGTGCTTAGCACTGTGCAAGTCACCCCAGACGACTACCCTTCCTGATATCCAAACACAGGTAGAGATGGGAAATCACACACACACACACACACACACACACACACACACACACACACACACACACACACACACATTACTCTTTCCCATCCTTGATCTTGATTATCAGTGACAGCTGAGTCTGTTGTCGGTCCTACAGTGAATTCAGGCAGCCTGGGCTGGTAAAAATGGTTCCTTATTTGCAAGGCTACTTTAAAGTGCTACGTGAAAGCACTGGCTAGAAAGAAAGCACAAGGAAGCTGAGGGGGTTGATACAATGTCACTGGGAGGGGTGGGTGGGTGCTGATCCTTTGTGACATTGTTACCCTGAAGTGTCCTACCTGCTGTGAGCAGGTCTTCCTGAAGCGGGCTCCGAGTTGAGGGGGAGGGGAGGGCCTGCTTTGCACTATAGGCTGCTTGGTGTGTTTGTTTTTTATGCACAACTTGCTTGTACAGTCAACTGCCCATCTTGGGTACTATTTAACTGTAAAATGAAAATTGTATTTGTTACAGTAATATAACAGATGCCTTGAAGGACCTGTGTCAGCCTTCTGGAGTTGTGAAGGTGGGTGGGACCGCCTTCTCTTGGGCAGGAGATAGGGGATTGTAGGACAAGGTGGAGCTGGCTGTGTGGGAGATACCTCAGTGCTGGGAAGTCCTCCATCCAGCTCCATCCGGGTAGCTACAGAGACCTGGCCCAAGTTCCAAGATCCTGCCCTGTTGCAGTATTAGCTTGCCTAAGATCAATCCCCAACAGGAAGTTCCTGTTTTTCTACCCTGGACTCTGGACCCTTTCCTACCCAGCAGCACCTCTGCCCACAGGATTCTGGCCACCGCTGCTGCAGGACCTGTCCCCAGGTACACCCTGAGTGGGTCACCCAGCAGGACCTCTCCTTGAGATAGAAGCAGTGTCTTCACAGCCCACAGTCTTTCATTTGGTTTATCTGAGGGTGGACCTGAAGATGACCTCTACACCTGAAGAACAAAACCCCTGACTTTAACTCTGGTCCCCTCTGTACCCCACATGTCCAAAGGAGACAGACCAAGGAGTCCTGGGCCCGCTGGAGGCAGAGCCCTGCGGGAGGAAACCATGCAGTTACCTCTGCAGCCTGTGGGTGGCGGTAGGAGTGGTTTCCTGGCAGCCAAGAGAAAGCAATACTTACCCCACCCCACCAAATCTCCACCACTGCCCCCAGCCCCCTGCTTCAGAGAGGAATGTGGGCTGATATTAGGAAGAACTCCCCAGCCTCTGGATAGTCGCTCTTGCCCTGCCCAGGTTTCCCCAGCCAGCAGTGGCAGTTGACAGTAGGAACTTCCTGCCTCTGCCCTTCAGAGACACCCTCCTGGTCACATGTCACAGTCACAGGCCCTGAGCTCCCACCAGAAGACAGGGACCTGCAGGGAAGAGCTGACTTCTGGGTAGGAACGCTCCACTTCGAAGCTCCAGTCAGGCTTATGCACTTTCCAGAATCAAAGGGTGTGACAGGGCCAGCCCAGGTGAGGAGGTCAGTCAGCTGCCAGCCTGGAAACCCTGAGGTCCTTGTGCCTCATCTGACAGATGAGAGCCAAGGGATCCACTGACTTGAGGATCTGTGACTGGCTTAGTGGCAGACTAAGAGGCAGTTCCCAGAAAGGACCCAAGCCTGTGACATCAGGCCTTGGATGGCTTTGACTCTTGTCCTGAGAAGTGTACATCCCGTCCAGGGAAAACAGGTCTGGGGGAGCCGATGCTGTGTGACATAACCTGACACAGACCCACATCTGCCTCTCTTCTCAACTAGCACCCCTCCCTGCCCCAGACTGCACTCCCACAAGCAGCCAGACCCCCAGCATGGACCCGGAAAGGGGCAGTTCTCCGCTCTACCCCACACCCCAGCTCAGAGCACTTCAGTGGCTCCGTTCATCTCAGGGTCATAAATGAAATGAGCTGTCAGAGGAGCCGAGTGTAAGAACAACCCTCTCTGGCAGGAACCCAGACCTCCCCTGACTCCTCCCCATGGGGGCTGTGCAGAGTGAGGGCTATGTCCCCCCAATATCCGCTGCTACACCTGTGTGGTCCTGGCCAGGGAAGTCTGGGAAGCCGGATTCCAAGCTTCCTATTTTTAGTTTGCGACGAAGAGTGGGCTGTTTGTTTTATATATTTATATCGACCACAGAGTGCCTGCCCGAGCCCGCCAGAATGCAAAGGGGTGGGTGGCCCTGATGTCAATGCCACTTCCCTGCTGTGCCCCAATGCTGCAAAGGTCCAAGACTCCTTGGTACTCTGATGGGTGGCTGCCATTGACCACATAACTCTGCTCTGCTCCTGGGGACAGTATCTTCAAGGCTTTGGCCACAGCTTACGCAGTCACTGCCCAAGTCCCATCTGCAGAGAAGCAAAGTCACAGCAAAGCAAGGGGGTGGGGGGGAATGACAGCAGATTGGAACAAGCACAAAGGCTCCTCGGAGGAGGTGTCTCTCCCCCTCAGACAAGATGGAGGATGAGTAGATCATAGGGCGGGCAGACAGCCTTCCACATCCATAGTCTTGTATGTAAAGGTCTGGAGATCAGCTTGGGGTAGCTGGAGAGGAGAGTGGAGAAGGGGAGCTGGCCTTGGTCATGGGGCACAGAGGAGCCAAGCTGAGGGGTGTGGGGAATAAAGTGAGAGCCACAGAGGGAAACTTGCTTGCTGGTCTCACAGTGGTCTGAGCACAGGAAGGGGGAGCTATGAGCATCGGAGCAGGAAGAGCTGGACAATGTCATCGATACCTCTAGTCCTGACGTACAAGAAGGACTCCATGCCCCGACCATTGTCGAGTTTGGACAAGCTAGCATTGTGTAGTCTTGGCTGTCCTGGAACTTGCTTCGTAGACCAGCCTTGCCTCAAACTCACAGAGATCCACCTGTCTCTGCCTCCAGAATGCTTAGATCAAAGGCGTGCACCACCGTGCCTGGCCAGGGTGAACGGTGTTTAACGGAATCATTGGAACAAGGTCTCAGGAGTAGTCACTGTTCCTACTCAGTTAGCTCTTTTGGGACTTCCCCATCCCTGTGTCAGTTTCCTCATCACAGGCCTCTGACCACCACCAAGGTCCTCAGTCTGATCCATCCATCCACTGTCTGCTGGAGTCTGAGGATGTGGAGGTTATGAGAGACAAGTCCCAGGTCCCCATGTTTATGTATTACATCTTAAATACTTTTTTTTCAAGAGGTAGGGTCTCATGTAGCCCAGGTTGGCTTTGAACTCCTGATCCTCTTCCCTCCACCTCCCAAATTCTGAAATCACAGGTGTGAACCACCCCTGGCTAAATAATGTTTTTTAAAGCGGCATTAAATAATCCTTAATCATGGAAGGAAAAAATAGAGCAATACAGATTCCTAAAAGGAATACAAGAAAATGTACTGATAATTTCAATCCCTCCAAAAGTGGCTATTATGAATATTTTGATTTTTCTCACTTTCAGACCTTTGTCTTTTATTAAATATATTAATACTTTTTAGAAATAAATCTTTCTAGTCATTTATACTGTGCATTGTTTATCAATTTTTTTTGGCTTTTCAAGACAGAATTTCTCTGTGCAACAATCCTGACTGTCCTAGAACTATCAATGTCATTTTAAAACTAGATAAAGAGCCAGGCACAGCGGCTCCCACATTCAGCACTCAGAAGGCAGAGGCAGGTAGATCTCTGTGGGTTTGCAGCCAGTCTGGTCTACGGAGTGAGTTCCAGTTTCCCATCTAGTGAGGCCTCAAAGTCAAAAGGAAGTCCCTTATTAAGGGGTTAGCAACCAGCCCTGAGGGGAAGCAAGACGGTTGTCGTTCTCCTGTGCTGTGCCTCCCATGACATAATTTTGCTATAAAAACCATCATCAAAGGAGAAGGAAGAAGTAGAGATGAGAAAACATCCTTTCTTAGAAGCAGAAGCGGGAACAGCTTGAGTCTGGGGATGAGGCTCCACAGAGGAGCACTTACCCAGCATGCTTGGGGCCTGGTTTCCATCCCCACCCCTGCACAAACCAAGCAGGGGTACTCAGGCTTGTAATTTCAGCACCTGGGAGGCAGAAGTGGGAGGCTCAGGAGTTCAAGGTCAGTCTCAGCTACATAGTAAGTTTGAGACCAGCCTGGACTACATGAGACCCTCTCTCCAAAAAGAAAAGTAAAGAAGAAAGAGAGAAGATGAAGAGATAGACAGACAGACAGATAATGGAGATAAGATAAATGATAGAAATAGATGACACAGAGAGATGATGGATGGATGGATGGATGGATGGATGGATGGACAGACAGATAGACAGATGATAGATAGATAGATAGATAGATAGATAGATAGATAGGTAATGAAAGATAGATAAAGAAGTAAAAAGGCTCTTTATAGTCCTTTCTCCACTTTAGAAAACAAGTTGTCTATCTTTCTCTATTTCACAAAGCATGAAGTTGGAAGTAAATTCACACCCCCTGAATTCCTGGTTAAACCCCCCCCACCCCCCCCCCCCGTTCTCTCTAACACTCTGGCCTTGAGTTCAGACCTCTTCCCACAGGGAGTCTCTGCCAAGATGACTGCCTTTTCCAGCTTCAAATAGGCTCAAATCACCTATGCCTAAAATTTAAAAACAAC